TTATGTCAAAATTCCTCACCATCACCAAAGTTCAATTTCTCACCATTTAGAACTTCACATTAAAGTTCTAAATTTGGTGAAACTTAGTCGCAATCAGGTTTCAAAAATTCATCAATCAAATTTCATATTTATCATTCAAGATTTATCATCAAGTTTCAAAAATTCATCAATCAAATTTCATTTTCATCATTCAAGATTCAACATCAAGTTTCAACAATTCAAGCAATCACCAAATTTAAATCAACCAAGTTTCTACAATCATCAAAGCTTCTACATTCATCATCTATATTCAACCATAATTATAAAGCAAAGAGTGATTTGGAAGCATAACAAAAAGGCTTACTTTTGAAGTTTTTCGGGTTTCTTTTTGGCACTCCATTAGAAATCTTTAACCGGAGAAAATCTTTGCTTTGTTGGTAATTCTTCATCTAATTTCTTCCATACCATTACCATGAGTTATTAGATGCTTCTTGTTGATTAGAAAAGCACTTATTTCCAAAGAAAACCAAATTCAAGTAGCATAAAAATCAACATAATTTAGCATAGTATTGAATTAGGCATTGCATTAGCATAAAGTTTGAACATAAAGCTTATTTGAATAATCACTTATTTGAGCCAAAAACCCAACTTTGATATAGAACATAAAAAGTTCTCTCCTTGAATTTTCAAAACCCAAATTAAAACCCCATAACCACTAATTCCCCCATGATCATCATCACCTACTAAACAACAAACAATAACCATAACCTCCAAGAATTCACCTTATTACAATCATCACAAATAGTACAATAATTTAACATCTTAATTCACAAGAAACGAAAATGAAATTGAAAAGTAAAAAGATGGGTTGAGGCATTTTACCGAGCACCTTGTGAGTAAGAATGAATTTTGTATTTTTCTTCATTCGAATCGGCAATTTAGCTGATATTGTAATTGGTTATGATTCCCTTGGGCCATATGAGACTAATACATGTTACTTCGGTGCTATTATTGGGCATGTGGCTAAACAGGATTGGAGGAGCTAAATTCACTTTGGATGGTAAAACATACAAGTTGTTGGTGAATGCATGGACTATCATGTTTGCCTACAACAGTTCTGATGGCGAACAAGGTTTGTGTGACTTGCATATTACTTGAAAACTCATATTGGGTGTGAAAATGACTGCCAAGCCAATAGGCAAACCGACGCAAGCGAATCTAGCACAACATACATATTGCAACCTCATGTTTTTTTTACTAATATTTGTTTAGTGCATTAGTTATTTAATTTAAAAGTATAAAGTTTAGAAAATAATAAATCCTTTTAGGATTAAGAAAATAATACACTTAATTCTCAATTAAAATTTTAACTATTAGAAGTTTTTTAGAGCATAATTGGAAAATTGATTCAAGCTTAGGGTTGTAGCCTTGCTTTCATCCTTTAATTCATAACTTGTAAGTTTGGTTATTTCTTGAGTTGTTTACTTGTTTGCTTAAACTATATAGACAATATGAGCTATAATCTTGCATGATCCCTTAAGAGCTTACTCAATTAGATGATTAAAATTTCCTTAATCATTTAATTTGAATTAGATTGATATTAAGACTTGGACCATGTATATTCCCCTTGGTCAAATACAAACCCCTCATTCTAAAACCCTAGAAATAGGTAACCATCAAGACATGACAATATTAGGTTTCATTCTCATTCTTTGGTACCATAAATCATCCTTTTAATCGTGTCCTTAACTTATTCAATGAAAAGCTAAAGTTATTTTTGAAAATAAATTTAAAACACTTAATAACTACGATGTGAATTGTACGCCACGAGGCTTGAGAAATGGAGAAGGAATAAGAGGGAACATTCCTATCTTTATTTTGAATATCATTGAATATGGGACGCGTGACCCAATTGTTCAAAATAATCATCTTCATTCTTAGACTTTAGTGTAATTCAAATCAAGGTAAATTTTCATAACGAAAGGAAGAAAAGGATGAGGGTGTAGACTCTCTCTCCCCAAATGATTCAGACACTGTTGCAGAGCTTCTTGTCTGAATATTCATCTTCAAACTAAAATCAATCACAACCAACATAAAAAAAACATTTCATAATCATACTCTCTTTGGTTAATCTCCATTTCTTGATTAAAATACATCTCTTTGGGTTAATCATTATTTCTTGCTTAAAATACCTCTCTTTGGATTAATCACCACTTCTTGGTTAAAACACCTCTCTTTGGACTAATCACCGTCTATTAGTTAAAACACCTCTCTTAGGTTTAATCATCATCTCTTGGTTAAAACACATCTATTTTGGCTAATCACCATCTCTTAGTTAAAACACATCTCTTTGGGTTAATCATTATCTCTTGGTTAAAACACTTCTCTTTGGTTAAAACACCACACTTTTTGGTTTAAACACCACGCTCTTGGTTTAAACACCACTTTTAATTCCCGCCCTTGGTTAAAACACCATTTTAATTCTTGTCCTTGGTTAAGACACCACTTTTATTTCCTATTCTTGGTTAAGATACCACTTTTACAATTTCCTGTTCTTGGTTAAGACACCACTTTTATTTCTTGTTCTTGGTTAAGGCAACACTTTTTAATTCCCTATCCTTGGTTTAGACACCAACCTCTACAATTCATTGTCCAAACAACAATTTCTTTTCATAAAAGAGCGGTTATATTCATTCCTTAATTGTCAAACTAACAACTTAGAGCATCTAAACCAGGACCAAACAGCTAACGTTAAAACACTTCTAGGATACGATTATAACATTGTTCCCTAAAATCAACCAACAAATACTTATTTTCTACTCCATGCACTATGGAGCTTTGATTTTCTTTGTGCATTATGAGAATACGTAGGCATGGGATTTCAAAATCTTTGCGAGCACATTAATTAAAAATTAATTTTTCCCCTTAATTAAAATCAATCGCAAGTAACTTTTAGATAATAACACTCATTCGCGTAAAGAACAATCAAAACGGTTTCGGTTGAGTACAACGGGTGTGAGGGATTCTAATGCATTCCCTTTGCATAACTGACTTTTGTACCCCTTTCTCTTCCCTTTGAGTTTTATTGATATTTTCCTTTTCTCTTAAAATAAATAAAATTCAGTGGCAATTCTGTTGTATTTTCGAGCGTGCGATGCGCTCGGGTATTTTTCATGTCGCAACAGTTGCCAACTCTGCTGGGGAGTTCTTTTTTCCTTGATATTTTTCGTGATGCGACAGTTGACGACTCTGCTGTGGAGTTCTTTTTTCCTTAGTATTTTTCACTATGCGACAATACACAAACTATGAAACTGATCCTTCAATAAAAACTAATTTGAAATACCATTTCCTTGATATATCCCTTCAAATTTCTTCCAAAACACTTTGGAAAACGACGTGTCATGAACATTTTCAAGAATATTTTTAGTCAAAGACTTATGAGTAATATTGAAAGCTCTTAAATCATATTCCTTCTACTTCTCGTTGTCCATGTTGAAAATTTTTTCTTTCAATGTCGTTTTTAATTCTAGTTATATCAAAACATCTTTGACTTGTATTTCCCACAAGGCAAAATTGATTCTTCCATGAAATTTCTCTAAATCAAATCTCATTGCACTTGAAAACTTAACATTGCAACCAAAATCTTTTCTGCAGCAAAAAAATCCCAACCAACACAGAGTATAAAACTACTTTTTTGATGTGGAAGATCTAACAAAACTACAACCACATAACATACTAAAAAATTTATACCTCACCAAATCAAGGCTCTTTGTACCAAGTGTTAGGAAAAATCAACATTGAGAAAAATAACAGACACAATCACAATACAAAGACATGACGTGGAAACTTCAAAGTGTGAGAAAAAACTATGGACGCTATAACACATAGACTACCCTTAACCACGTCATGGTCCCAATACACTCAAATTCTTTAAAGCAAATATTTAAATGCCTCTCACAATACTCTAACACAAAAGTATAAAAGAAAATATAAAAAGTAAAATAAAAATTTAAAATGCTTTTGATTTATGTGTTTTGTAATGAATAACTTTAATTCGTTATATAATCTTATATTTCTTATCTTTACAAAATTAAATACGTAGTTTTTTCTTTGACAAAATCGTGATTTTATCTAACATGCCGCAATCACCAAATAAGTATTATACCTAATATTTCAATTTTAGTTTATCCCATGAGATTGGAACTAATTTGATTCCTTTGTTTTCATTCTTGGACATCTCATATGTGGTACCAATTCATTCTCAGTATATGATCTTCTTCCCTTATTCAAATTTCAGCCTAATATCTAATATCTGACTTTCTTATCCTTAACTAAAGGAATGATGCAACACACTATTCATCATGTGATATTGCCACTTATATAACCTTGGTAACTTGTTCTCATTAAATATTCTCATGCAAAACCTGCTAAAGTATAGTCAATTATAATTTAATCTTGCTTGTTTATTCCACTTCATACTTTTTGCAGTGAAAAGTGAGAACATTACATGCACATGTAGTTTTTAAATTTTATTTGCATATGCATTCCCTAGTTTCTTGCTCAGAAATATCCTCTAGATCTGCGCAACAGTTTAATCACAATATTATTATTATTAACAAGTTGTAAATTGTGATTATCTTAAACTCAAGTTATCTCCATTCTCCATGCATTGACAATCACATTTTGCTTTTTCAAATTAAGTAGTACTTAAGCAATCACTAGAATAATCACCTATACTCTATTTATTACCATGCTTAGAATATAGAAATTCAAATCTCAATCTATTTCAACTTGTTCATTCTTCAAAGTATTATCCTATGCTTAATTTATGTGTCCTTATTTCAATATCAGTATTGTTCTTGTGGCTGAATGAATATCTCCTCTTTGAGATACATATGGTTAGTTACTTCTTAATCTAAATCTTCATATCTCAAATTATTTAGAGTTTTGTTGTCTCTTTTTTTATGTAAGAAAACACATGAAGTCTTTGGATATATATTCTAAGTTTTGAAGATAGAAAAATGCCAAAACAGAATGTTAATACAAAGTTAAAAAGATGGAGAAGTGTTTATTTTTTCATCTTTATAGCTGGTGCTATTGCTCTTCTTCTTTCTGGTGCATCCATGTCGAAATTCTTCTCTTTGAAATCATTTCTTGATGTTGAGTCTTTCTACACTCATTTAAGTCCTCCGGAGGGAATAGATAGGAATAATCGAAATGAAGTGCTAACAACGGTGGAAATTGTGATTCAAAAAATTCAAAAGGAGCTTGAAAAACTTAGGGAAATACATCGAGATCCGTCATCATTGTTGTCATCATCACAATTTGTAGTTAAACAAGGTGCTTTTCTTGCGGACATTTTAGGACTACTCGAGTCTTTGCATAGTGAAGAAGTTCGCAATGGTAGTTTCATCGTTCATCCTTTGATGAAAGAAAAGAAACGATCCGATGAACCTGCTAGTTACTTTCTGAGAGAAGAGATTCGAAAATATGTCAGAATCAAGCCTAATAGATTAGGAAAACAAAATTTCATGGGGGCGAACGCGACGTTCACTAGCATAGGACATGCATGTTTTTCGATGAAGGAAGATTTAGAAGAGTACATGGATTATGACATTGGTGAAATATGTAATGATGATTGGAAGCTAGCTCAAAAACTCATGGTTCACGGATGCGATCCTCTACCGCGGAGAAGGTGTTTTTCGAGAGCACCAAAACTATACTATAAACCATTACCTATTAAAGATTCCATGTGGAAATTACCTGATGATAGAAATGTTAGATGGAGTCAATATAGGTGCAAGAACTTTACTTGTCTCGCAAGCAACAACAATGCTCGAAAGGGATTCTTCAAATGCGCGGATTGTTTCAATCTTACAGATCATGAGAAGCCGAGATGGATGAGATTAGATGGTGATTCAACTTCAAATCAAACAAGTGAGGCTGATTTTTTTATAGACGAAGTTCTCGGAATTAAGCTAGGAGAGATTAGAATCGGATTGGATTTTAGCGTTGGAACCGGAACTTTTGCTGCAAGAATGAGAGAGTTCAATGTGACTATAGTTTCAGCAACTGTTAACCTTGGTGCACCTTTTAGTGAAATGATAGCTCTTAGAGGACTTGTTCCACTTTACTTGACTATAAATCAAAGGCTTCCATTTTTTGATAATACACTTGATTTGATTCACACAACAAGGTTTCTTGATGGTTGGATTGATTTTGTGCTTTTGGATTTTGTTTTGTATGATTGGGATAGAGTTTTGAGGCCAGGAGGGTTGCTTTGGATTGATGGATTCTTTTGCTTGAAGGAAGATTTGTATGATTACTTGCAAGCTTTCAAAATGTTGAGATATAAAAAGCACAAATGGGTTGTTGTCCCAAAGATTGATAAGCATGATCAAGAGGTGTTCTTTTCTGCTGTTTTAGAGAAACCTCCTAGGCCGTTTAGGTGATAAGCATGATCAAAAGTTGTAGAAATGAAGATATGTGTTTCATATAGTTTTTTTAATAAAATAAGCTTCATATAGTTGAATATAAAAGTTCAATACATATTCTCATAAGTGAGACAATTTTAGAAAAGGGATGATCATGGTATTATGAAATATTTTGAAATTTATTAGGTATATAGAAATGTATAATGCGGGATATATAAAATTTATAATGAATTGTCTTTAAACAACTGATTAATATAATGATGTATGTTGGTTTGCGAAGGTTGTGCATTAGCATGATTCTCACTAACCTAATTACTATTAAATCATGAACATATTATTCTCTGCAAATTGTATAAGGGTACAAAATATTTATAGGAACGCGTTTTAGATATTGCCCACCATCGACTTTCATATTCAAACTATATACTAATTTCATGTCTTTGAAGAAGAAAGTATAGAATCAAACATTAATTAATTTGAATGGGAAAAAAATAGTAAAACATATCAATGGAATTATCTTTGTAAGATAAAACATATATAATGATAATAAATAAATATTATAGTTTATATATAGAAAAATTAGAGTGTAAGTCATAGATAAATTTGTTTAAAAAAAATAACAAAACAAAAAGAACATGGTTAATAAAATTAAATTTTATAAATTTTTAGACAAAAAAAATAAAATGAATAGTTATAATTGTGTAATACATAGAGCTGTAAGAGATAGTTTTGAGATAAAAATTGGACATTATTAAATGTGTTTTTGTAACTGCTAGATTTATTATTACTATTTTATTTTATTGTTTCAGTTTTTAGTCAATTAGTGGTTGCTATACTTTAGGAGCAAGCTAGTAGTAGTTGGAGCAAATTAGTTTAATTATTCAATTCCCTAAAATCCTGGTGACGTGGGATAGTTTTCAGTTTTCCTTTCTATTATTTATTGTAACGCTTCTATTGATCAAAATATATTCCTTTCTTTTAACCAACAGTTTTCTCTACTTCTCTGCCTCTCTATTTATTATTTTCTGCCATTAAACTAACAAATTGGTATTAGAGCCTTCTTCTTAGAGGGACCTGTGAGTGAACCCATTAAAAAACCCAGCATAATAAACCTTCCTTCAATTCATCAAATAGATGGATTTTGAAACTCCTTACACAAAACTAGCACCGCTGTGTTTGACGGTGATAATTATCACATCTGGGCAGCAAGAATGGAGGTTTACCTAGAAGAAAATGACCTTTGGGAAGCCGTTGAGGAAGATTATGAAGTTCTTCACTATGCCAAAAAAGACCTTTAGCAGCGCTTTTTTTGGCCTTTAGCAGCGCTTTAAAGCGCTGCTAAAGGTAAAAGCAGCGCTTTTTTATGGAAAAAGCGCTGCTAAAGGCTCCCTTCAGCAGCACTTTTAGCAGCGCTTTTATAGCCCTTTAGCAGCGCTTTCATAAGCGCTGCATATTCCCCCCAACCATCCCCCTTTAGCAGCGCTTTCACAAAGCGATGTCGTAGAGCCCACCTTTAGCAGCGCTTTTACAAAGCGCTGCCATAGCCCCCCCCCTTTAGCAGCGCTTTTTAGAAGCGCTGTCTTAGACCCCCCCTTCCAAATCTATAGCAGCGCTTTTGTAGCGCAATGTTTGTGACCTTTAGCAGCGGTTTTTTGTAAAAGCGCTGTCTAATGTCCCAGATTTAAAAAAAAAAAATTTAAAAAAATATTCACCCTGTTTTGTATATTTACCAACAACCTGCTTATATTACACAAACCTGCTTATAATTCAGGCCTTTATTTCAACACTTTGGCCTTATATATACAATTCAAAACTTTGGCCTTAAATATACAATTCAAAACTTTGGCCTTATATATACAATTCAAAACTTTGGATACATTGTAACTCATCACTTTGTTCATAAACATTTTAATACACATAAACCTGTTTAAATATGTTACAACGAAATTCGATGCTCAGAATTACAACATCACAAATACATTCAATTTACATATAATTACAATTCTTCCAATCCGATAACTCTATACAATTCTCAACCCAAGAATAAATTGACACCATTCCTCTTTAATTTCTTCCAATTTTTCTTTTGTGTAAGTAGCGCACTTGAATTCATCAAAATACTACATTATATAACAGAACATACAAGATTTAATTTTAAAACTAATTACTCAGATGAAGTATCGGATAATTATCAAAATGAATCATATAACTTATATAATGAATTGATCCATACCATGACTGGAATCTCAAGTTGACCAGAAAGAATAATTTCCCTCATAAAGTGCAATACAAAATATCCACAGTCAATACCATTGCGCTGCCGAGGACACTGTAAATGGAAAAAACAAACAAACATTTATCAGGATATATAGTTTAAATAGTTTTATCAAGTAGAACCACTATAACAATCAAACATGGGAAAATATATCTCTACTCTGATCCAGTTGATGTTGTTAGCCTTGCTTTTTGGCACCGTTGCATCTCTTTGTGCTTTGAATATTTGTATAACTCTAACATAATATAAACGCATATTTAGAACAATGTCACATAATAAATAAAGATATATAATTAAAGACAACATTATATCTCATCACTTACGTATCAACCATGTTCCTCAGATTTTCATATTTTGTTGTATCGCCATCCAATGAATCTATATAATACACTATTTCTTTCCTCGGATTAATCGCGACCAACAACCAATGTCCACTATAAAATAAGACAACAGTTTAGACGGAAATGTTATATAGAAAGGGAAAAATCGAACAATTATAATAAATGAATTTAGAATAAAATCTAACCAATGGCCAGTATTATATGGCAACAAGAACAACTTCTTCGTAGTCGCGCGCATAAATCTCTGCACTGTGTACTCTTTGACTGTATCTGGTGTCTGGTCTATTATCCGTGAGTTGACACAGCTAGCAGATAAGAATGCGAATACTGAAGTCAATTCATTTGGGACCAACAACTTGTCATACAAGAACCTAAAAAAATATAATCAACATTAGAATATTCAGTTAAACGAGCAAATTTTAAAATGTTCAATTATTTAATTAAAATGGATCGAAGTACCCGATGTATGAATGCATAACACCGACGCCCAATTCAGAATGGTTGAAAACCTGATCAAAATCCTCCTTAGCAATTGTTTCGGGATATTCAAAACCGAAAATACCTTGCTCCATATGTATTTGCTGGATGCCACCCTCAGGCACATCTGATGTTCCCACATATGTTTCAAGGCACATCCTAAATCGAGGAACAAATGCTTTTCCGGGCACCTTGGAAGTTTCAGGCATCTTACCCTTGCTGACTTGTTGCGACTGCTGATCATGAACCTAAAAGTCATGTATAAGTTCAGTAATTAATGTATAACAAGATAATCATGTAACTGTAGTAGTACCTGTTTCTTTTATGCAGCCGAATCGGTATCCCGCACAATAATTCTATCATCTTTTGATTTGGATTTTGTAGGAGTCTAAGATCATCATGTAAATAAGAAAATGTAAATGTAAGAATAACTTTCATGTATGGATCATAAAACATTTGAGTATTAAAAGGTTCAACCTACCTCATCATCTATGCAAATGAGATTTGCCGGCCATGCCACATACGCTCCTATTGCGTCTCCCACCACTGTTGCGCCTGAAATATCATCCGGTATAGGCAACAACGCACCCCCCTCTAACGCAATATCAATAGATACTTTCAAAAATCCAGAAGGGAGCGGTTTGTGGTGAAGTAAGTCTCCCAGAAAGTTATGCACCTTTCCCTTGCCAACCATTCGATGAGTAGGTGACGATAAATATAGCCGGCAAAGTGAAATGCCCTAAACAAATAATAATCAGTTAATGTGTCAATTAAGTAAACTGTGCTAAATTAATTTCAATGTAATATATACAATTACCTCTAGAAGCTTCTGCGGACAACCGATACTATCTTTGTCACTAGTAGCTTTACCCTCTAGAGCGCGTCTTTCCGACATGTATCTCTCCTTATCCTTCTGTAATTCACGGATCTGCGCTTTCAATTCCTCCAAAGTATCCATCACTTCTTTATTGGTTGGATTTTTTTTCTTTGGCTGCTTATACAGTTTGGATGGAGTGACACCAAATCCCTTACCCCTCACACGCCCATAATACTCAGGAATATTCAACACCCGGCTCAGTAAGCTCCTGCAATCATCGTCCTTAGCGGGAGTTATGGTCTGGGATAGAGTCTCCTGAAATATAGATAAAAACATATATAAATATATTATACACTTTTGATCAGTTACTGACAAAGATAACGTTCTACTTACACATTGTTCAAAGACTTGTTGAACTTCTTCCTGAACGACTCCATCTCGTCCCACACGGGCAGCCTTCCATACAACATGGTCCGGAAGAGATGTTGCATCACTCTTCTCCTCTTCCAACTATGCATTAAGACGGATAATAAAGCATTATATCCTATTATATATACTTACTATTTTTTGTAAATATATCATATTAAAGCATTTATATGTACTTACTATATTTTGTTCTAATCGTGCATATCCCAAACGGCCCTTTCTGTATGGATATGCGGGATTTGATGCCCGTTGACGATTTATGCCACTAACAACCTGAAAAAACAAGTTTATCAGAACTCTTGTGGAAGAAGTATATATACTATACATAGTTCATGATAAGTTGTACTTACTTCAAATTCTTTTGTTCTTCGCTTTGCAACAAACGTCTCCCATTCTTCCTCCGAAATCAAATTCGCGTACTTCATTGGACGCTCTGAGTCAACAAAGTTTCCTTCAGAATCTTTTAGAAACTTGTTTGTTAAAAACGCTCAAAATCCCCTCAAGCGTTTTCCGGCCAATTGAATACAATATTTTCTCCTACGATCTTCAATATTAAAAGATCTCTGCAAACAAACACACATACATATAACATGTTAGTATAATTAATTTAAAGACGTCACTGTCAACATAATTAAAAATAATCAAATATCATACCTGAATCTCGGTCCAAATCTTATCTTTA